GCCCCTCCCGCCCCCACCTCCGGGCGGCCCCTGTGCGCCCCGGCGCGAGCAGCCAGCCCGCGGGCGCGCTTGCCCAGCACTCGGGCGGTGACATCCCCGGACTGGCGTTTGGACTTGGGGCGCCGGGGGTGGGGTGAAAACACATTCCTGAGGTTTTACTTTTTCCGTTGGTTTGATCTCCCGCGTCTCAGCTTCTCCGGCTATGCTTTTTTCAGTAGCAGGGATGCTTCAGGTCGTTAGCCCCAGTATGAAGGGCGAGCGGGTGAAAAGAGAATGTTTGATGGAAGTGCTGGGCAGAGCCCGGGCCGCGGAAGTGGAGACTTCGTCCACGCTCGGCTTGTGAGTGGGAGAAAGGCTGATTGCCACTTGCCCTTAGACGACCCAAACTACCAGTTACAGCCGCCTGCGGCCCGAGGTTTTCCTTTGCGTCCGGCACGGCCGTTGGTTGTTGGCCGCCCAGCCTGGCCCGCCCTGCGGCTCCCTCGCAGACCCGCTGCTGCTTTCCCCTACGCGGGAGCTGTGCGAACGAGGCCGTGGCGGAGGCTAAAGTCAGCGGGACCACAAAGAAGAAACAGCCTCACTTGTCTAACCCCGAGGCAGTTACTTCAGCTTAACTCTGATTGGGTAGAAGAAATGTCTAGTCCACTTGTGTGGTTTTTATGTCGGTTCTTATTATGGTTGAATCAGTGTTTCCATGGGAGGCTTGGTTCCCTGTGCGCTTGGAGGGTGCTTGCTGATTCTCACAAGGGCCTGGACAGATCAAGTCTGGAATGTGGAGCTGCTTTGTGTGTGTGTGTGTGTGTGTGTGTGTGTGTGTGTGTGTACGCACGCCCGCGAGGTGGGTGTTGATCAAGGTGGATACTGCAAACTTTTGTCAGCTCAGAATCGGTGGTGGGGAGCAACCCGAGGCAGGTTTACTTCCACATAACCTGGAAGTGCTGAGGCCTGAGCCGTGTGAGCAGGATTACAGGGGGTGCGGACCCTTACTGAAAGGAAGGAGGACACACTTCTCTCTTTGTGTGCAGACAGTAGTGTGATTGTAACAAGTGCCGTAGATCAGGGTGTGAACCACCTGTTCAAACAGGTCGCAGTACTGAACCCTTTGGAAATGAGGGTTTTCAAAAACACGAATTTGTTGGAAGTAAAGAGCTTATTTTAGAATATAATTCACTTCTTTTCATTGATTCTTTGTTAGGAATCAGTAGGATTTACTGTGAGCTCAAAGCATCTTTCATAAAGAAGTGTTGTGACTTCCATTCAAAAAGAAAGCTGTGGCTTCCAACTTGTTTGTTCTGGTTGCTTAGAAAAACAATGTGCTCAGATAAGAATCTTCAGTCTCTTCCTCTTCCTGAGAATATTTAATTGTGTATTTAATATGCTGGAAGTTAGCTTTATGCCATTTGGAGAAAAACTTTTTTTGCGTTGGGCAGCTTTTGCTGCCTTTCATGGAGTCTGTGAAACCGAGTGACCTGCCACCGGGCTGCTGTGGGTGCCGGGGGTGCCGTGAAGGTTGCAGAGGGTGGACACAGGCCGGGGTGGGCTGGTGGTGAGGTGGAGGCTGCCCTCCGGCTGGGCCAGGTGTGTTGTGGACCCCGGAAGTATGGGACCTGCGGAGAGGACGGAGGCAGAGATCCTTAAAAGGTAAAGTAACCCCAAGGAATATCGTGGCGCCTCTGAGCACCGTGTGGTACAAGAATAGTGCACTACATAGGACATGCCCAGGGTGGGGGTGAATTTACTGACAAGTTGTAGATTAGAAAGCACGAACATTCACTCTTTAAAAATATTAGAATTATATGCATTGAAATAGAGGGATTATAAGTGCTTTTGATTTTCTTCATACTGGCCTGTATTTCTTAACTTGTATCTTTTTTAATCAAGTTTTTACAATAATAACAGCTAGCATTTATGAGTATTAGGCACTTACGTATGGTATTGCGTTGTAAAATGCTTGGAGGTCAGTGCTGCTGTTGTTTTCATTATGGAGATTCAGAAACTAGGATCAGAGGGGTAACCTTCCCAAGGCCGCAGGCGCGGAGTGCTGGAATCAGATCTTGAGTTTGGGTCAGTGGTGGAACTCTGTGTGTCTCAGTCACTTCTGTCTACTGTCTCCCGTTATTATTATTTTAATCATAAGGAAAAGGTAGAAAAGGGAATGGAAACTTTTTCGTGCTTTAAAAAATACTAGAATCCTGTGTCTGCCTCCCGTCTCTCTCACCTCCACTGTCACTTCTCCTTGGAAGTCTGAGAATTGCTGGATTTAGTCTAGATAGCTCCCCTACCTCGGCACCAGCTGTACCCCTAGAAGTGTTCAGAATTCCCTGGGGAGTTCTCACTCACACTGCAGTCTCGGGAACCCTGTAGGTTCCTGGAGCAGTCACAGTACAGGGCAAGATTTGTAAAGTACGTAGGGCACATTGTGTCTTCAGAGCTGTGTCCTGTCGGCTTTCGTTGTTCTTCAGAGTGTCGGGTGAGTGTGATGGGCGAGAGACCAGGTAAAGCGCCAGGCTCCATTAGCTGCGAGTGGTGTGGAATGTGAAGGTAGCTCGTGGTGCTTATTACTATGAAAACAATGATAAACTGTGTTTTGGGAGCATAGTGTGCATTGGCAAGACTGGCTGCTTTAGTGGAGATGGAAATATTCAATGCGGGTGATTCTGGGGGAAAAATGCCCACATCCTGTGTGCCTCGGGCCCTCACAGCAGTGAGGCTTTGCAGATCACCTTGTCCATCCTCCTCATGGAATCTACTCAGAGATCCTCGGAAGGATCTGCTTTCCTCAGACGCCTGGTCTGTCCATAGCATGCCTGAAGACAAAGCCTATCTCTTCTGTTCCTCCAGGAAGAGATTTCTAGAAGCTTGAGGTAGATAATCATCTCTGCTTGAAAAGAACAAAACAAAACAAAATTTGTGTCAAGGATCTCTTTCCAAATCATCATACTTAGGCCAGTGTACCAGATCTGTGTTTATTTAGCCCTGTGAAAAATTTCTTTCTGGTCTCAGTCTTTGTGAGCAAGTTGTTCCACAGATACTGTGCATCCCTGTTAACTGGTGGTTCCCTTTTCTTGTTTTGCCCACTTCTAGCAAATGTATAGGAGTTTTTGGCCTTTCTTTGTGAGAGCTAATAACGTAATCTTTTATTTCTGATCTATACTTTCCCTTGAGTCCCAATTTTGTCACCTATCCAAACTGTTTTGTTTTACATTCTTGGTAAAACAGGTGTATGTACTTACATATTTCTATTTATTACATTTGCATAAGTATATATGATAATTTGTACATACTAGTAAATATACAAGTATAACAAATACAAATATATATTTAATGTCTTTCTGCATGTTCATTTTTATTCAGTGCATTTTTGGGCAGCCACTTCTGACACTCCATTCCTTTCTCCTGGGTTCATTTTTTTTCAGTGTAAATTCAGAAGTTCTTTTAGTAAAGATTTTTGGTAAACTTTAAAGTGTTTGCATTCCTGCAAATGTTTGCATGTTCCCCTTACAAATAAGAGTTTGGCTTGGTGTGGAATTCTATTGCTTGCCTTGGCTGGTAGATTCATTCTGTTAAGGTTCATGAAATTTTAATCCTTGTTATCTTTTTCTAGAATATCCTTCAGAACATTCTGTAGTGCTAGTTTGGTGTTCATGGATTTCCTCAGGTGTTCTTTGTTATGAACGTATCTTACTCCTCCATCAGTTTTGATTAGTTTTGTGGGGTACATCAGTTTTGTTGGAGGTTGTTTTCTTTTAGGGCTTGAAATACTTCACTCCAAGCTCACCTTGACATGAGAAGTCTGCAGTGATTCTGATGGGCTTTCCTTTAGAGGTGATTTTTTTTTTTTCCCTCTGACAGCTTTTAGTATTCTGTTCTTGTATTGAATTTCTGGAATCTTGACTACTGTATGCCTTGGTGTAGATTTTTTTTTATCATGGCTAATTGGAGTTCTATATGCCACACTTACCTATATGTCAAATTCTTTTTCCTTGCTTGGGAAATTTTCTGCCATGACTTCTGTGAACATGTCTTTTATGTCATTTGTGCTATCTCCTGCACTTTCATTGACTCCAATCAATCTTAAGTTATTCTTCTCTGCATCATCTAGTAGCTGCTGGATTGATTTCTCATGGTCCCTTACTGTTTTAAAAATATCTTTCTTCTTATGATCACTAACTGTAATCCTGTCTTCTACATCTGATATTCTGCCTTCACATTGGCTCATTCTGCTGCATATACTTCCAATGACATTTTTAATCTCCTGCATATCTGTTTGAGTCTGTTTCATAGATTCTGTTTCTTTCCTATGTTGACATTTATGTTTTCCATCATTTTCCTAAGCTCCTTTATTTTTTTGTGCTCTAGAATCACTAAGCACATCTTTCACTGTGGTCACCATCTCTAGGTATCTGAGAAGTAATTTCTGATTTAATTATTTTCCTAGAGCCTTGTTCATTTGCTTTGTTGTTACCACTTCAGAGAGTTCTGGTGGGTGGATGGCTTTCAGATTGTTCCACCTCATTGCCTCTTGGGTTTGCCTTTGGTAAGCAGAAAGTCTGGGATTTCATCTTGTTTAAGTGTCTTTTTATTTTATTTTATTTTTTAGTTTAATTTCTGGGTTGATGCTTGTGAATTGCCTATGGTGAGTGGCTTTATTGCCGTTATTTAGAACCCTTAGTAAATGAGTACTTCTCAGAGGTGTCTTCCAGGTGTAGCTGGCTTTTGGGTCTGTTGTAGGATTATACCCCTTCAGTTTATTGGGGATGAGAGGTTGCTGTTTAGCCCAGCCCTTGGTTCTTTGGCACTGGCCTATATTATTTTTTGTGATACAGGAATCTTGGTACACCAGGCAGAACAACTGATTAGAACAATTATGTCACCTTGGCTAAAGTGGTAGAACCAGTAACAATAGGATCAAACACAGCTTAGAAAATGACAAACTGAGGTAACTATTAATTTGCCACTTTAACCATATGAACTAGATTTGTAGTTATATAACAATCTAAAACAAACCAAAAAATTTTATGCAATAAATAAGCCCTCAGCGTGGTGATTTTTACCGTCGGGGGAGAAAATTTAAAAGGGGTTAGGGGGAAGAATAGAGAAATAGCAGAGGAAGTGATTAGAAGCAAGGCTGGAGGACAAAGGAAGATCACGCAAGCTTTGGGAACCTGGTGAAGAAGACAGGAGGGAAAGAGAGAAGAAATAAGTAAAAACAAGAATAGAACAACAGCAGCAGCAACAACAAAGTAGAAGCCATGTTCACACTCATATAAAAACAAGAACAATCAGGAGAAAAGCAAAAACAAAAGAGGAAAAAAAAGAAAAACATTCACTTCAAGGTATTTCTCTGCTGTTACTGGTAGACGCTGTGGGCAGCCGGAGTCCCCGTCTGAGCTGATTAATCCCAGCAGGGCAGCTGTAGCTTTGTGATAATCCCAGTGAGCCTGCCCCTTTATTTTCACTGGCTCTGAGGCGGGAACCAGATTTGCTCGGCCTGCAGCAACTGGTGCGCCTCCTTCTGGCTTGAACGCGGCTCCCTGACCCTGTCACTGGGAGCCACTGGATGGAGCTAGACTGCAGCTGCTCTGAGTCTCAAGCTTAGTTGTCCCCTCTTCAAGAAGGCTGTCACTCAGTCACCCTCTCCTGGGCAACATCTGAACCCGAGTTACTCCCCAGCTTCCCCAGTGCACTGCAGCCACTGCTGTGTCCCACTGGTGCTTTTCTCCACGGAGGCCTCTGGGGTCACCAGTAGTCATTGTGTGCCTGCGGTTTCTAGCTGCCCTTCCCACACAGTGAGTTTGGCCTCAGGGAGACAGCATCTTCTTCTTCCTTAAAGTCTCTCTCTTTGCTCTCCCTGTGGGCGTCAGTTCTCACTGCAGATCCTTCCTGGGCCCAGGGGACCCACTTCCCTCCTTCTTCTCTTCCTCATGTTACTCTATTCCAGTGTCTGGGTACCATATCTCGAGCAGGCTCTTTCTCTGCTGCTGTCTTCCTGGAAGTTGGGTGTAGAATTCTAGACAAAGTTATTTTCCCTGAGTACTTGGAAGATGTTAATGCCATTGCCTTCCTGCATTTATTCAGTTACTTCTTAGAAATCCAATGGCAAATGATTGCCATTTTATTATAAAATAATATATATCCTCCCTGGTAGCTTTTAGGATTTTCCCTAAAATATTCTATAGGTATGTCTACATGTGAATTTATTTATTTATTTATTTATGTCTTTTTGAGACAGGGTCTCACTGTGCAGTTCAGGCTGGCCTTGAGCTCACTTTGTAGCCCAGCCTGATCTCAAACTCACAACAATCCTCCTGCCTCAGCCTCCGGAGTGCTGGGATTACAGGCGTGCACCACCACGCCTGGCTACATGTGAATTTAGAAAAAATTGTCCTACTCAGTAGAAAGTATTTGTGAGTCCCTAGCTGAATAACCTCAGACAAGTTATCTAAATTCTCTGTCTTCTCCTTTATAAAATAGAAATAATAATAATATCCACTTCAAGGATCATTGGGAGATGATAATGAAGGATATGTTAGACTAGTCCCTGCAGTACAAGAAAGCACAAAAGAACTGCTAGCTATTATGCTTACTTGTGTAATTTTGAAGAATTTCATGGCTGTCTACTTCCTGGTTGCCGTGATATAAACAGCCTTTCCCTGGGCAGGCCCTTCCTCGTACCATGCTGTTTCTGTGAGCCTGCCCGCCATGAAACTGGTGCAGAAATGATGGAATTGGACCTAAGAGATGCCACCCAAATTTATAGAGCAGTCTTTGTTTACCTGGAGCTCATGGGGAGTAAAAGTTGGCATGAAGTAAACCATGTGGGGTTGCCAGAACTCCAGCTCATCTGCTAGGCAGTGCTGAGACAGAAGGCGAAGGGTTACAGATCGAGGTGCGTACACCCATCTGTGCCTCCCTCAGCCACAACAGGGTAAGGGGGTCTTTTTTTTTTTTTTTTTTTTTTTGTGGTACCGTGGATCGAACTCACAACCTTGCGCTTGCCAGGCAGGCGCTTATGCCACTGAGCTATATCCCCAGCCCTAGGAGATCTTGACGGCCAAAATTGCAAGATGATCCAGTTTGCCAATGTCGTTTACTCTCTGACTACAGTCATTTATTATAAACTTACTGATGGCTTTATGTCACCAGACCCTTGGAATATTTCCCTTATAAGATGACACCTGTATTTCTTGATGCTTATTTTATTCATAAAACACTGGATTTGAGACCCCTCAGCCTGCTTCACCTTTTATCTCAGAGATAGTCAGGGTTGACTTAGTTGTTCCTTTCCATAATTTTTCTTTCTGAAGAATAAAACTTTCCCAGATAGAAGAATTTGTATTGTTCAAAAATATAAAGTAGCTGCTAAAGAACTTGCTTAGTAGAGACAGTTAATAACAGCTGTATGCAAGGTTAAGTCGTGGTTGTGTTCAGCGGGGTAGAATGCGTGCATTTTCTGTCATCTCATACTTATAGCTGCCACTGCCTCCTCATTGCGGAAGCCACCGCGTCTTTCCCTTCTTCAGCTCTCCCAGTGCCTTTTGTAAGATGCTGTGTTTCTTGTTTTTCTTTTTCCCTGTACCAGGAATCAAACTCATGACCTCGCCCTTGCCAGGCAGGCACTGTGCTGCTGAGCTAAATCCCCAGCACCTCCCAGTGCCTTTTGGATTAACTGAAAACATGCCCTGATGGTAAATCAGATAGTGTGAATTTACATATCTGCATTGATAGGGACCAGAGAAATGCTACTTGGACAAGTACCAGCCTCTTTTCCACTCTTCCAGACACCATCCTTGTTATAGCATAGC